TGTTAAAAAAATTAACATTGAAGTTCTTATAAAGAGAATGAAGGAAGAATCATGATCTGTTCATAAATCAATAACAAGCAACCTTTCTTTTATTTAAAAAAAAATTTATAATCAGTCAAAATCAAAATGTATATATTAATATACAAACGTATACTCACATACTTTTTCTCTTTGGGCATATTCCCCAATGCCTCATTATCTTCTGAAGTTTAGGCCATCTCTAAAATTTTGGAAATAGTGAGTTGCAATAAATGTATACACATGATGGTAGGGAACAATTGTTTTATGAGAGTTTATAGAAAATATTTGGAATAGAAAACAGGTTTAATTTGTACTTTGGACAACACATTATTGGTAGTCCTTGACTTATAACAATTAATTTAGTGATTGTTCAAAGTTATAATGACACTGAAAAAGTGACTTATGAACATTTTTCATACTTATGACTGTAGCAACTTCCTCATGATCACATGATCAAAATTCAGAAGCTTAGCAACTGTCTTGTATTTATGATGGTTGAAGTATCCCAGTATTTTGTAATCATCTTTTGTGACCTTCTGACAAGCAAAATTAATGGGAAAGCCAGATTCATTTAACAATTGTGTTACTAACTTAACAACTGCAGTGATTCACTTATAAAACTGTGATAAGAAAGGTTAAAACACTTAGTAACACTTAACAATCATGTTACTAACATAACTACATAACTACCGCCTCACTTAGCAATGGAAATTTTGAGCTCAGTGGTCATAAGATGATGACTGAGTGTGTCATAGATGAAGCATTATTTTATGCAATATGTGTTTCCAGTTAACATAATGATGACATATTTCTTTCTGAAGAAATATGCTGAAGATCAATCTTACATAACATTTCTGTAGGTAATATATGTTTCCAAAATTACAATTTGCCAGACAAACACACACCCATGGATCTAAGGATACACTTCTAGAGATATATGTGCATGTGGAAGGCTTCCAAGTAGAACATTATAATATTATATTCCACATAATTATAGTAAATAAATGAAATAAAGTAGAACAGTGGCAGGTTCACACATCACTGCTAAACAGAAGTTGATGACAATGTCAGTACTTGGGCTTTGTGCCTGAATGAAAGGACAAGGAATAGGGCATGAGTTTGCCTTTCTGTGCTCTGGACAGCTGCAAATTGTAATAAAATTGGTAAGTTCCAAGGGATTATTGACAATTAACATTGAATAGAGTGATAGGTACCATAAAACACAAAGGTCAAAACCTCAGGCACAGACTATTTATATACACTAGGCTTTTTTAGTCTCCTTTCTAAAGCAATTTTTTTGGGGGAAAATCAATTTATAATGAACAATGATTTTCATGATCCCTTAAAAAGAATGAAAAGTTAAGAGACAAAGAAAATAAAGATAATTTAAAAGCAAACATCTTGTCTGGAAATAACTAAGAAAGTTAAAGGTGGAATAAGAACTAGTCAAATTTGAAGTTTTATTAATTTGAAAATTAGAAACAGTTGAAATAATTAAATAATATGTAACTTCATGGGAATCAGAAATGGTTAGACAAGATGATTGACTGACTTTGTTAAACAGGAATTTGGGGGTAGAAAAAGGCAAGCAACTTCTACATGCATTCTCTCCTTTGCCTGACTCTTACCTCTTTTCTGTAGCAGAGAGATTGGAGACAGATTTAAAAAGGGTAAACTGTTTTTCCATACATTGAAAATAATATAACTGTTGTGGAGCGGCGGTAGATATGAGGCAGACACAGAGCTTAACAGCGAAAGGCTTTATTCGGTGAATAAAGGGTTGCCGCGGCTGCCGGGGCTAACAGGCAGTCAGCTGGTGGCGACCGCTGATGCCGTTTGACAGCTCCTTTTATAGCCGGCTGTCAAACGGCATCAACCAATGGGAGCGATCGGTGCTCCCGCCAGAAACGCAGACCAGATTGGGAACTGTAGTCAGTTCAGTGAATACAACACTCCTTTCCCCCGGCCAGGAGCATGCGTAGTTCTTTAGATAGGCCGACCGCCTGCGCTGGCGGCTGGATCGCCTTAGTCCGGGTGGATCTTCAGCCGGGTAGGAGTCCTTTGCCTTTTGGGTCATGCTGGAGCTTGCAGGAGCTGGAGTTTCGTCAGCAAGTGCCTCTGCCAGAGGACCAGGTGCCAGTCCAGGTAGGTTCCTTCATTCGGCTCGCTCCGGGAAAGTCTCAACGCGTGGCGGGTAGATCGGTTCGCTTGGCGGGAAGGTCTCAGCGCTCAGCGGGTAGACCAGTTCGTTTGCTGGGGAAGTCTCAGTGCTTGGTGGGTAGACCAGTTTGCTTGGCGGGCAGTGGGGGTCATCAACGGCCACTCTCCAACACCTTCTCAGCTGGTCGATGTGCCGGCGCCAGGTACGACCGTCATCCAGGAGCACCCTGTAGGACTTAGGCCCTGTTATAGCCACGACTTGCCCTGGCACCCATAAGGGATGGCCAGAGTAATTCCTGGCATAGACCAGGTCCTGCAGGGTGAACTCTCTAGCCTGGCTGTCAGATGCCAAAGGGGTAACTGGGGTGTAATGGGGGTGCAGCCTATCCAGGGTGGTTCTAAGGCGTCTGCTCATAAGGAGGTCTGCAGGGGATTTATTGGTGGTGGTACAGGGGGTTGTGTGCTGGGTCAGTAGGTACCTGGAAAGTTTGGAGTGCCAGTCAATTGGGCCAAACCTCTCCAGGGCCTCCTTTACTGACCTGACTGCCCTTTCAGCCATCCCGTTACTAGCAGGGTGAAAAGGGGCTGTGAGGGCATGCCTGATGCCCAGGTTGGCTGCAAAGACCTCAAATTTGCAAGAGGTGAACTGGGGACCATTGTCGGATACAATGGTGTCTGGGAGGCCATGGGTGACAAATACTCTGGTTAGGGCTTTTGTGATAGCAAGAGTGGTTGTGGAGGGCAGCAGGGCCAGGTCAATCCACTTTGAAAACGAATCCACAATGATTAGGAAAGTTCGCCTGTTCACAGGGCCTGCCAGATCAATGTGCAGCCAGGACCAAGGGGCCCCAGCGTCTTTCCACCTGGTAGGAGTAGATGATGGTGGAGCTGGCCTGGTAGCCTGGCAGGGTTGGCACGTGCTTACCCAGCTGGAGATCTGGGCATCCATGCCTGGCCACCATATGTAGCTGCGGGCCAGGGCCTTCATCCTGATGATGCCTGGATGGTCTTCATGCAGGACCTTTAAGACTGGCCCTTGTAGTTTAGCAGGGATGACCACCCTTGTCCCCCACAGTAAACAACCCTGTAGGGATGACAGCTCTTGCTGGCGAGTCTTGAAAGGCAGGAATTCAGGGGTGTAATGAATTGCTGGCCACCCCCTCCCCACCCAGTCCAGAACTTGGGCGATTACCTTGTCCCTTGAGGAGTGAGCAGCAATGTCAAGGGCAGTAATGGGCAGGTTGAGATCGTTGACCTCGAAGATAGTGTGGATGGGTGCAGGGTCTTCAACCGGAACAGGCAGAGGGCAACGAGGGCATCAGCGTGGCACAGGATCTTCCCCGGGCGATGGATCAGCGTGTAAGAATAAGCAGCTAGGAATAGGGTCCATCTGGTCATCCTTGGGGATAGAACCTGAGGTTTTTTTTTTGTCCCCAGACAAAAGGCCTAACAGTGGCTTGTGATCTGTTATTAGTTCGAAATGGTGCCCATATAGAAATGCAGCCAAAGCCTCTTTGTCAATTTGGCTGTAGTTTCGTTCTGCTGAAGAGAAGGTTCTTGAGAAAAAGGCAATTGGTGCCTCAGAGCCATTGGGCAGCCTGTGGCTCAGAACAGCCCCTACACCAAAGGGGGAAGCATCTGCAGCCAGGACTAAAGGTAGCTGCTGATTAAATTGAATTAATACTGCATTGGATGTGAGCAAGGACTTGACGGATTGGAAGGCATGGGCTTCCCTTGGTCCCCAATGTCAGGGGGATTGTTTGTCCAAAAGTCTGTGCAGAGGTTCTGCTATGGAGGCTTTATGTGGAAGGAATGCAGCGTAAAAATTTAGAAGCCCTAAGAAGACTTGAAGATCAGTTTTGTTGGAAGGTGTGGGTGCCTCGTGGATAGCCCTGACTTTGGACTCAATTGGGTGTATACCAGAGGCGTCAATTCTATAACCTAAAAAGTCTACTTGCTTAGTGGCAATGGTGCATTTGTCCCTTTTGAGTTTAAGGCCATGCTGTCTGAAATGCTCAAGGACTGCTCTGACTCTATGAATTCATTGTGGCTTGTCCATGGCTGAAACCAAAATGTCATCAAAATAGGGGACTACGCCTGGGAGTCCTTGGAGAAGCCTCTCCATTAGAGACTGAAAAATTCCGGGGGCTACACTTACGCCAAACTGGAGGCACTTGCACTTAAATGCACCCCTATGGGTGACTATGGTTTGTAATTCTGCAGTTTGGTCATCTACTGGGAACTGTTGGTAGGCCTGTGACATATCCAATTTTGCAAAAATAGTCCCAGGCTCGAAGGAATGTAAAAGATGTTGGATGACAGGGACAGGGTAAGCACTGATTTGTAGAAACCTATTCAGGGACATCTTGTAATCAGCACAGATTCTCATGCTGCTGTCTTTCTTAAGCGGGGTGACTATGGGGGTCTCCCATTTCGCAAAATCTACTGGTTCTAATACCCCTTGTTTTAGTAATTTATCTAGCTCCATATCTAATTTGGGGCGGATAGCAAAGGGTACCCTACGAGGTTTAAGATGGATGGGAATTGCCTGTGGGTCTACATTGAATGAAATAGGGGTACCAGAGTAACACCCTAAATCTTCGCTGAATACATCAGAATAGTCTCTGAATAGGATATCTACTTCAGAGGTTGCAACAGTGTGAATACCGGTTATGCTGAGGCCAAGAGCAGGGAACCAGTCTAATCCTAGCAAACTAGGGAGGGCACCATCTACCACTACTAAAGGCAAGTGGCCTTTGAAGTTGTTGAATTGGATTAAAAACTTGCCTTTCCCGAGGACTGGGATGGTCCTGCCTTGGTAATCACGCAGAGTCAGGTGGCAATTCAGGAGCTTCTTCTTAGAGATCCTTGGAAGCATCTTCTTTAGAGTTTCCCAGGAGATGATGGAAAGTGCAGAGCCTGTGTCAACTTCCATCTTGCAGGGCTTACCTTCTAAAAAGACAAAAATACTTATTTTGTTAGAGCCTGTGGTAGTATGATCTGAGTGGTAGCATGTATAGCAATCCTCAACTTGCCTTTGGAAAATAGGAGCCAGCTGAGGTCTTTGAGGAAAAGTTTTCCCAGCTTGGCAGACCCTAACTAGGTGGCCCTTTTTCTAACAGTTCAGGCAAATAGCATTCCTGAACCTGCAGGATGCCCTGAGATGGGTTCCCCCACAGCTTAGGCAAATGGGTTGTTGCCTGGGGGTAAAGTTGATTTTTTGTCTTGGTCCTTCTAAAGGGGGCTTCTGTTGTCTGAGGCGGTTAACCTCAACTGGGTCTTCAGAATTCTCATCTAGGGAGACTTCATCAAAATGAATAGTTGAGCTGCCTTGTCTAATGGGGTTTACCTGTATTTCTGCTGCTGACAGAGCAGATAGCTCAGCAGCTTGTGATTCCTCGATGGCTACAGCTAGGGTCAAGTCTTTTTTGGCTAGCAATCGTCTTTGAAGTCTCAGGTCCTTGACCCCACAGACAATTTGATCTAGGAGCATATCCTCTAGGTAATCCCTGAAGCCACATTGTAGGGCAGCTGACCATAAGGCTGCCACATACTCACTAACTGACTCCCCTTCAGACTGCATTCTCCTCCTGAAAGCGTGTCTCCTAGCAATTTGGGATGGCTTAGGGGAGTAGTGATTGGAGAGGATCTCCTGTAACTCCTCCCAGGGGACAGCCCTAACAGAACGCGGAGCGACCAGCGCCGTGGCGGTGTCAAAAACCGTGGCTCCGCAGAAGCTTAGAAAATAGGATTTTTTCCTATGATCTGTGGCATCTGTGAGGTCTATCGTGTCCAGGAAGCAGATGAAGCGATTTCTATACGATTCCCATGTCTCGGCTGTCAGCTTGAATGGTGGGAACGCAGGATTCTAAGACATCATGTGGCGGCGGCGTCTGTCTCCTCAGCTGGGGAGGTTTGAACTTTGTGCTCGCAGAGAGCGTCTGTGGCTGTGACAATCAGCTCTCGGTGGCTTCGGCTCTTTTTGTAGTGACTGAGCTCAGCTGTTTTAAGTCCAGTCGCCTCTTATTTGTATCCTGCCCTCATTGCCAGTGTTGTGGAGTGGCGGTAGATATGAGGCAGACACAGAGCTTAACAGTGAAATGCTTTATTCGGTGAATAAAGGGTTGCCACGGCTGCCGGGGCTAACAGGCTGTCAAACGGCATCAACAAATGGGAGCGATCGGCGCTCCCGCCAGAAACACGGACCAGATTGGGAACTGTAGTCAGTTCAGTGAATACAACAATAACTGTACTGGCTGTGAGAAAGTATCAAGCACTTGATTTTTATTCTCACCTCTTGCAGAGCAGATTTCACGAATATACTGAAAGGTGTTTGTGTTGTTGACAGGAAAAATACTTACAATAAAAATAAATATTTTACCGAGTATTATATTTATTCCAAGCAATACAGATAAAGCTGGAAGAAAATACTTCAAAGAATTAAATAAAACAATATTGATTCATTTGGCAAGAGGAAAAAGCAAGGATAAGTTTGAAAATGCTGCAAGATGCTAAAAATAGAGAGGGATTTTGGCTGCCAGATTGGGAGTTGTATTATCAGGCCTCGGTATTTACATGGGTAAAAGAATAGATTGGTCTGAAGCACAAAAGACTATTGACTTTAGAGAAACATGACTTCCAACTGGGTTGGCATGTCTTTTTGTGGTATGGGAAAAATAAGCTACATAGTTATTTCTAAAGACATTACATCAGAAATGCATTATTATTAGTATGGGGGAAAATTAAAGAACAACACTATTTGAAAATACCAATACTGATTTGTATTATCATATGTGGTAGACATGCTCAAAAAAAATATTGGACAAAAATATATACATTGTTGGAAAAAATGGTAAAGCAACATATTGATTTAAAACCAGAAATATTTTTGTTGGGCATGTTACCAGATAAGTATAACAAGAGGGATACATATTTGATTTTACATGTATTGACTGCAGCCAGAATTGTATTTGCACAACAGTGGAAAAGTGTAAAGATCCCTTCAAATGAAAATGTGATTAAAAATATTAGAATGTGCAGAAATGGATTAAACTGGTATTAAATTTTCATGGTCTCACAATTTAATAAAATATTTTGTATAAAATGATGTATTGTTAATATTTGATACCCAATAAATTATTAAATGTACAAAGATATTTTAAACCAGTTTTGGGTACGATGTATAATGGGTCATTTTATCATGAATGGTGGATTTGTGTGAAAGTTATAATAATTGGATACAAATTCACACAATGATGCAATGTAATTGAATGAATAATATTGCTAACAAAACAAAACTCTTTTTATTGCAACTTATGGACAATAAATTTGAAAGAAAAAAAACTCATGGTAGATTATATACAGTAGAGGTCACCAACCAGTGGGCTGGGAGAAAATTTTGCTGGTCCACAGAGAAATGTCACCCCCAAAGCACCCCCCAAAGCAATTCATCCAGGTTATTCAGGAACACAAAGCTGCACCACCCACATGGCCCGTGGGGAGACAAGGCTTGTGTCACTTGCATTGCAAAAAACATGAGGTAGTGAGGGGAGGGGGGAAAGGGCAGAGGGGGGGATTTGCCCCACATGCCCCACATGCCTGGCCTGGACACTGCTTCTTTCTTCTTCTTTCTTCTTTCTGCTTTTTGCTGCACACAAGGAAAGCAGCAAAAGTCTTTCTTTCTCTCCCCCAATCTCTGTCAGAAATGAGTCTTTGGGACCCTGCAAGGCATCCTGCTCCAAGAGGCTCTGCCGGCAAGACAAGTCTCACAAAGACTCATTTCTGGCAGAGTTTGGGGGAGAGAAAGAAAGACTTCTGCTGCTTCTGCTGCATTTCTTGCATGAAGCCAAAAATCTCTCTCTTTCTCTCCCCCTGAGAATGGAGCTGGAAATGGTATCCTGTGATCCCAAATAAAGAATGATCGATCAGTAGGAAAACAGGGTGGGGAATTTTCCTGCAGACTTTTTTAGGGATTTTTCCCAGGGTCTCTGGTCCACAGGATTTAAAATTATGAGTTTGGTGGTCCCTGAGGTCTAAAAGTTTGGCTACCCCTGACATACAGTAACTGCAACAAGATTATTGTATGCAAAATCATGGAAAAATGATGAAAATTCCACAGCGAAGGAGTGTATTGCAGAAATACCAGAATTTGAAGAAATGTCAAAAGTAAGATTAATTTCGATTTCAAAATCATTATGTAGGTTGTCCAGAAAACACATCTATGGTTATCAGCACAAGAAACATTTTATAGACAAAAATGATAAGTGAGCATTATCAAATGATATATTCTTTGTATTTGTCACCAGAGAAATTGTCTAGAAAATATAAGGATACTTTGATTTTTTCCTGGAAACATGAACACATAAAAAGATAAATAAAAAAGATA